GAAAAAGAAACATCATTGACCTTAAAATCCTTAATTCGAATAACAAAATTCAAACCTAACCAACCTCGGTCTTTAAACCTAGTTTTGGAGATAAAATCAATAGGATTTAAGATAATTTTCAATGGAACGATAGCTTTGCGTTAGTTCTTCCTAAACATTTAATAGTATTAGAACTCCTCAGAAAGCTTTGGTGAAGTTGTCTTTGATGCTTATTCTGCCACTCAAAATAAAGTTATTTTTATATTTTAATTGATGATCTGAACCAAATCGAAATTGCCGAGATCAAAAAAATTGGATAATATATCTTGTTCTATATTTTTTATTTTTCATTTGTTATTGGCAGATGCGCGTTTTTGACCAAGTGGTAATGGAAACGATATTGTTAGTGATCTGAAAAAATATAGGTTTCTTGGAAGTCATTTCGCAAATTATGTATTGTAGTAGTTATATATGATTGGAATAAATTCGGAAGAAAAATCAATAACAGATCCCTATATGGACTAGTTAGTGAAAAAAATTATAGGGTTCTACAATATAATAAACTTAGGAAGTGAGGCTAATAAAAAAATATCTTTGTTTTTGAAACTACGAAATATTACTACCATTGTCAGGAATGATAACCGGATCTCTCCTTCGCAATTTGTAAATAAAGAATGCTAAAACAATAGCTATTATTCCCAGAACTCCCATACCAATAGCTAAGCCGATGATTGCAGGCTTATCGTAAGAAATTACAGTTAGGGTAGTGGTGGTGGTGATGGTTGTTATTGCTGTGGTGGTTGGTCCTACTCCGCATAATTCTACTACGGGATTTCGGGGAATGCTTGCGAGCATTTGGCCATTAGTAATATTTTGCCAATTGCATCGATGTTCACTTTGAAATAAATTCTCACAAGCAAAATCAGCAACAGTACCGGTAGGTGTGCTAGTAATATTACATGGATAGTAACTAGTCCCATCATCACAAACCGTTATGTTGCGGGATTCAGCTACAGTAATGCGATTCACCATCCATTCAGCAGCTTTGAAAAAGCGGTAATAGTCAAATCAGTTCGTGTACAAGCATCAAGATTATAGAGATTATGGCATTGGGCTACTTCATAATTGTTGCCAACGCAGTCAGATGAAGAAAGAGAACAATTCTTATTATCTTTAGCACAACAATATAAATTGTCAACTATAATTTTTCCTGCTTCCACTTGGCTACAAATTGAAGTTTTATTACCGTTATAATTACTAACAGGTTTATACATATTAAATCATTTTAGCTTCTTCAAAGAAATTACATTATTATATACTGTCTGGCGGGACAAATTTACATTTTATCAACACTGTACTGACAAATGTCACATTTATTTTTGCATGACGTTATAAATGTTACTACATGTATATGTATGTACGTATAAACGCTGACAAATGTACATTACTTTACCAATTATTACATGTATTTAGTAAGTATTTGTTTCACTTGCGAGAATAGGTGTGATGGTTCACAGCGGATTTGCTTTCAAACTTTTGGTTTTTACATAATCAATGTTATCCAAACTTAGTTTCGGAGTTTGAATTCGAAAATTCGATATGTCTCTTTCAAATACATGTATTTGAATTTAAACATAATTTGACTGACTATATAATTCGAATTGAATTCAAATTATATATACTAAAGAACAACAATTTACATTAAATTATATAATCAAATATACCAATTAAAAGCTTAGATTTTGATGAATATATAATATTTCATATCCAGGTGTCATATTTGTCATATTTGTCATATTTTAATCAAAAAAAATCAATTTAACTTCAAACCAGTGGTAAATAGAGACGTAGTACGTATTTCATACCAACTGGATACGGCCAGCTCTTCAATAAATAATGAATTATCGGGACAAAATTCATAGCTGATAAATTGAATAGATGATTCATAAAATAGGTTCAGGTATATATCTTGTATTTTATAATTTATTTATATCTCAAACCACTAAAACTACACAAAAACTGTTAATAGACCTGGATACTATATGCAAACGCTGATTATTACTCTGATAGTTTTTAATCAACTCCATGAAATCGAAAAGGCATATACATCTTATCTGGCGAGAATTTTGACTTCCTATGTTACTATTTATTACAGGTCTAAGCCATTTAAGAATGGCACTGCACTTTATTTCGGATACATAAAGCTCATGCGTGTTGCCAAAACAAATATTTTATCACACTTAGAACCGAGTGACTAATATCAAACCCATGAAGGCTGTTTTTTACAGTTTTTAGGTGATTTCGTGTATTTACACGCCTTATTACAGATCTTTAATTTATTATTCAAGAAATTTTGTGCATTTACATACTTTAACAGACAAATATTTTTTATAGAATTGAGCATGTGATAGAAATAAGTGCTGATGTGAAAAAGCTGGCTTACCATGTAAATATGATTGTCATCTAAATTAGTCAAGTGTACGAACTGTATTAATCAAAATAGATAGTATAACTTGGTTTTGTGGGTTAAATATCAATTAGCAAGTTAGTCATCAGATTAGCATATATCATTTATTTATTTTGGTCTTTATTTCATATCATAATTAAAAAATGTGATTCTAATGATTTTTTTATTTATTGCATTACATGACTATCTTTTCATTTAAAGGTCATAAAAAGAGTACAGTAAGTTAAAAAAGAAATCACAATTTACTGCATTTCAATTTTCACATTTCATAATTGGTTGACAAATTAATTATAAAGTCATCTTTAATAACTGAGAAGTTAGTATATAATCATAATTTACTGAGAAGTTAAATTGAAATTGAGAAATTAACTTGACTAACAATTTCATTTGAATAATTCTTATTTTATTGATAACTATTAAATTTCTTGAAAATTTAAACGTACAAATTAAAAGCAAAGCATATCTAAAAATGTGTTCACAGACATTAATAATTTGCACAAATGATACTTAGCGTTAGTGCGGATATGTATAAGTTGTGTCCATTCACTTGTTGTGTAACTAGCTATTTACGTATTCTTTGCAACAGGTATATTGGCTAAACAAGAATTTGCTATTCTTTACAACACAAAGGTTGATTAAAGGACTATAAGAAAATTATTTCATCAGTTAATTCGATGATAAACTTTATACATGTAGATTTTCAACCTTTATCATTATGATTACTTTAAGTAACGAATACGCATCTACTTTTTCTTTGATTTTTTGATTATTAATATTTACAAAAAAAATGTACTCATTACTGGCCAACTAAATAGGCAATTTACGGATTGAAATCTGGTCCGACATTAAATATATTCTGGTGTGAAAATTACGATGCACAAATTCCTCATCATGAATTTTATTAAATATTTTTAACGTTAATTTCTCTCCCCAATTTAATTGGAACCGATTTTATTTTTAATATCTAAAACCAGTTTAGATATTAAAATAAAATCAGTTTCAAACTCCTCTCTATTTATAGTATACCGTAAAGTGCAATACCCGGATACTGTTGTATTCCCTTCGGTATTTACTAAAAGAGTTTATTTCGTGATAGATGGGGACATCAGACTGTGTTTATTACAACAAACAATCAATCAATGGATTTTCCGCAATTGGGAATGAGAGTTAAATCGAATTATTTATGGTTAAAGGGTAGAGATGACACATCTGCGTACGTATAGTCCAATACTGTACGTACTATCGCTATACATACTGTATGTATAGCAACACAGATATACATATAATTATCTAAAAACAGTAATTATCGTTCTTTATTTATAGCATACATAGTTAATAACTATTGTTACAGTAGTAACACAAATTTCTTTAATTCCCAAAACATTACAAAAATAGTCAAAAAACAAAAATTATTCAAAAATAGTTTGATAAGAAACAATTGTAAAAATAGTTCAAAATATCTTATATCCTATTTGATTAAGTTATTTTACTTTTTCTACTTTTTATTTTACTTTTTCTATCCTTTCTATTTTTCATTTTACCTTTTATTTTATCTTTTATTTTACTTTTTTTGTCTTTTCTATTCTTTATTTTACTCTTTCTATTTTTTATTATATCTTTTCTTTTATTTTTTATTGATTAGTTACTTTACTTTTAGATAGATATTATATTGAAATTTGTATTTCAAAAAATATATAAATAAAGATGCTGTCTGGATCTTAACTTGATATGTAGCAAATATAAAAATAAAATTCTATTTTAAAAAAATTTTCTAAATAATTGTTTCTTTTATTCTAAATTTTACATATTAAAACTTGTATATAAGTGACTTTAAATTATATTGTATTAAACAAAATGCTATTATTGTTAACTTTGAATTATATTGTATTAATCAAAATACTATTATTGAATTATAACTTTGAATTATATTGTATTATACAAAATTTTATTACTGAATTATTATATCATTTTTAACAAAATATTATTATTAAATTATTGTTATTTTAAATTTTTGTTATTTTGAATTTATTATTTTAATATTTCTTACTTTTAAGAAAAACAAAATAAAAAAGTTTTTATTATTATATTATTACTACTTATATTATTTTAACTTTAAAAAGCTTTATATAAGTATAAAAAATTAATATTTTAAATCTCTTTTATTATTTGTTTTTTATTATTTTTATATTTTTATTATTTTTTTGATTTTATTCTTTTATAAATCTTTTATATTATTATTTTTTTAGATTATTACAATTTCTATAAAAATTAATATAAAACTTAAATATTTCTTTTTTATTTATTAATATTTAATTTATATGTTTAATTCTTTTTTTAATTCTGATTCAGATTTATAAGCTAGTGTTATAATTATATTATAAAAATTATTAATTCTATGCTTTGTAATATTTCATGAAATTATGAAAATTATATAAAGAACTAGAACATTTCACAATTTTCTTACATATTATTAATTATATTTGTATACTTTTATTTTTCTATCTTGTATTACTATACTTTTTATACTTTTTCTATTTTGTACTGTTACAGCGATTCTAAATAGTGAGTTTCACTGAGAATCACTATAAGCATATGATGTTGGGAGAGGGGTGATTAAACTTAAGTAAAGAGAATGA